TGGTGGTACTACTGTTCCATGTGGTCCTACTGGTGGTATTCCTGTTCCTTGTGATCCTCCTGGTGGTACTACTGTTCCATGTGGTCCTACTGGTGGTATTCCTGTTCCGTGTGATCCTCCTGGTGGTACTACTGTTCCATGTGGTCCTACTGGTGGTATTCCTGTTCCGTGTGATCCTCCTGGTGGTATTACTGTTCCATGTGGTCCTACTGGTGGTATTCCTGTTCCGTGTGATCCTCCTGGTGGTACTACTGTTCCGTGTGGTCCTACTGGTGGTATTCCTGTTCCTTGTGATCCTCCTGGTGGTATTAATGTTCCATGTGGTCCTACTGGTGGTATTCCTGTTCCGTGTGATCCTCCTGGTGGTATTCCTGTTCCGTGTGATCCTCCTGGTGGTACTACTGTTCCATGTGGTCCTACTGGTGGTATTCCTGTTCCTTGTGATCCTCCTGGTGGTACTACTGTTCCGTGTGGTCCTACTGGTGGTATTCCTGTTCCTTGTGATCCTCCTGGTGGTATTCCTGTTCCATGTGGCCCTCCTGGTACTGGTCCTGGTCCTGGTGTGACCTTGTTGAATTTTCCACTCGTTTAGCAAGGTCTCTGATGAAATTCTCATCCGCTTTCTGAAAAATAAATTACACTGACCAAGAACAAGGAAAGAAATTTGGTCGGATCGATCGATTAGGTCGCGCAAAGGGGATTGCGAGCATTGCAACATATTGATTTTCAACAGGCACAATGAGGCATTGCTCTGCTCTCGAGAAAGAGCCTTCTAACCTTTTTATCCCAGAGCCAGAGTAGGCGTGGCATTTGAACATGGCACGGAACTGGTTACTCGTGGAATATTCCAGTCTGGGACAACTGTCATCTTGTTCTGTGTTGGACAGAGACACGACAACAATGTGTTAAAGGCAGCGCCCGCGTTCAAATTTGATGAGTATGCGGCTCAGGTAGTAATAGCAAGGTAGCAAGAAACCTATTAGTGAAGAAAAATCAAAAAGAAAACATGCAAAATGCCCTATAAGGAGTTTCATACCGAATAGCGGTTGTACGTGCTTAAGGCGAAGAGAAGGAGTGGTTGCACGAGTTCTCACTTGTTGATATCAGCTGTTTCCCTTATCACCTCTCACCACACGACGTGGAGAGAAGCAGCAATGGAACAACCGCACCATCAGGCAACCATTAGAAATGAAGTTGGGCGTCGTGGTCGCCAGGTGGGCGGGGCGGTCGACTCTTTACTAGCGATAGGCGCTATCTCGCCTTTGTGAGATGCAAAACTAGTACATACTGCATCCTTATGGGGAGGGCTATGATACCCAGAAAGGGCGTAGGAACATCAAGTGAACGTGGGCGCTGCCTTTAAGATGAAAATATCTCACCAGAAGCATAGACACCTTCAGGTTAAGTTGAAACATGCACCACGCCTACCCGATCTCAGGGATTTCGAGTATAGCTCTTGTATACTGAGATGATCAAAGCCTCAGAAGGCATTAAGTGAGCGTAGTGCTTCGCTACTAGGGGAACGCTTGCCTAAATCTTGCATACTGGGATGCTCGATTGCCTGAAAAGGCAATTTAAGCAAAGTGCATGGAAGGAAAAGGCGAAGTTTTCGATCATCTTGGTAGTACGTTGTTCGCAAAGAAAGCTCTTCGATCAAACTCAAAGATTCGATCAAAATTCGTATATTGATGTTTCGACGCTCACAAAGCCTCTCCAGTCGAAATCACTACAGTTCGCATGAAAATATTCTGCCACCGTGAAGCAAGTCCGTTTATTCGGCTTACATAAGAAACCAGAGTTTTCGGGGCGATGATTGATGAATGCCAGTGCAGCATCACTTCGGCTCTTGAGAATTTGGAATGTGTGAATGTGTTGAGATATTCGATGACGTGGAAGTCGTTGAGCAGTGTGTAAGCTGAGAACGGTGGGGAACCTGAACGTAACCCAGCTCGCATGGTGCCTAGCATTATCGGGGACATTAGAATTGGCTCCTAGTACAGCTGCGGGTTCAAGGGCTGGAGCTAAATGTGCCCCGTCGATTTATTGACGGCGGATTTCAGCTGTTATGGTTTTACTGTGGTCAACGAAGCAACGCCCTCAGTGTGCGTTATCCATACCCGGTGCCCACGCATCACGCTTATTTCATCACTCTTAGACGCTCTTAAGGCTGCGTTTATACTTTGCGGCAGCGTAGCGTAGCGCTTCCAGCGTACGCCAGCGGCAGTGCCGGGGAGAGGATGGATATCGATCTAGCGTTCCCAGCGTCACCAGCGTAACGCTAGCGTTACGCCAGCGTTTCACCAGCGTTTTGCTGGCGTTTGCAGCGGCAGGGGAGTAGAGACTATGTGGCCGTAAGAGACGCGCAATCGATGTGTATTGTAGAGACTATGTGGCCGTCAGAGACGCGCAATCGATGTGTATTGTAGAGACTATGTGGCCGTCAGAGACGCGCAATCGATGTGTATTGTAGAGACTGAGGGCGAGTGAGAGACGCGCAATCGATGTGTTTTGTACCCTCCAGCTCTCCCATAGTCTCTACTCCCCTGCCGCTGCAAACGCTAGCAAAACGCTGGTGAAACGCTGGCGAAACGCTGGCGTAACGCTAGCGTTACGCTGGTGACGCTGGGAACGCTAGATCGATATCCATCCTCTCCCCGGCACTGCCGCTGGCGTACGCTGGAAGCGCTACGCTACGCTGCCGCAAAGTATAAACGCAGCCTAAAGATTTCCTCGTAGAACCAGGAGACTCATTCGTTATTCAAGGGTCAGCTCTCGCTTGGCGTTCCGAGCCGTTTCTGCAGCTCTGACTCTCAATCTGATTTGCAACAGAAAAACTGTACGAATCTCAGGTTTGTTATATTATGTTGAGCTTCCGAAGAGCATAAAAGTGATCCCAAAATAGTGCCTGTTGTGACACTGCAGAGCGAAAAAGCATATTTAAGGTGCGACAATAATACAAACAACAGCATTCTAACCAAAGACCGCTAGAACTTTCTTCACGACCAAGTATTGCGGTTTGCTCCTGAGAACAGGTGCATAATATGCAATCAAGTGATTGTTTCAGCAGTAAATAGATGAAAACGCACAGCAAAGTCCTGCACATCAATGACGTTCTCTTCCTTTCCTACAATCTGCTCCATATTCTTTCTGGCAGCTGCGTCAATAGTACCGATAGGTATGTAGAAAATGCTATAAAGCATTTGCCGAAACTGTAAAACCATGATTTTCAAAATGGCAGTATTTACAATAGATTCATCTCTTAGCATGCTTTATCAATTCATTTTCTTATTGTTTTCTTTTTACAATCTACTCCATTCTTTCTGACAGCTGCATCAAAAGGAACTCTATCGAATAACAAATAGATGCTACAACAGAAATATCACGAAGGAGCTTACACCATTAGAGATCTGGAACTCATCGATAGGATTGGGTTTCGATCCACAGTGTTCACTCACTCCATCCGACATAATGATTATCTTTCCTTTACCAGGTGGAGTTCGCTGAAAACTAACATGATATTGCAATTCGCGATGAAGCCTCACCCCATAACAACTGTGGTTCTCCGGTAGATGCTGCTCAGTGGGAACAATTATCTTGACAGCCGTAATTTTTTGGTGACGGACCCCCTTGAATGGAGGAAGCACACTTCTCGTCACCTTTGGAAAGCCTCCTGGAGTTCGGCCGTCTTCGCACTTCCATGAACGCCTTTAACACGTTGACGACAATGTCAGACAATGGTGGGCGACAGCCAGTCTGTCTCGTGGGACGATGTCAGGACAATGCTGTCTGACAGTATGTTGTTCTATTAGGTTGTTCGGAAAGAAATGCGCGTTGACTTTGTCCATTTATTTCTCTTCTAGCGACACACTCGGCGAGAAAACTGGCAAAAAGAGGCTCTTTTGACCTACATTTCCTCTCCGGCGGACCTAACGACACACCCGAGGGGAAAAGTAGTGAAAGAGGCTCTTTTGGCGAAGTTTTTGCGTACAGTTGGCAACAAGTCATTGCTAGTAATGGAGATTATCTTTTAGATTGACCTTGTTTAATTTCGTTTTTATAATAAAAAATTTTTTACACTCAAACGCGCATTCCTTTCCGAACAACCTAATAATAATAAAGTTGTGCAAGCGACCAAGTTTGCCGAAAACGTGTCCCTTGAGACAGCTTGACCCTTTGAAACGAATATCACAATCGCTTGGCACAAACTTTTAGACGCCCGCGCCACACTAGTCAGCGCCAAAATACTTCTGACCGCCAAACTGAAGACTTGTCTCTTAAAGTTGTCTGACCCCCTGAATATGGATATCACATGCGTTCAACGCAGAACTATCCAGCGCCCGTGTTACTGACGACTGCACGACATTCCTGCATTGACCCCGGCGCATCTAGCGCGCATTCTAGGCCACCCGCATATGCTAGGGTAGTTGGGAAAACGTTTGCGAGACAAGGCAATACCCTTTCTGACTGCCTACCATAGTGATCGTTCCCTTTGCTATGACATAGCCTTGGCAAAGGGGAAGAGCTAGCTAGGTTTTTTTTCTAGGGCAGTAAACGGTAATTCGTCACAAAGACTCAAGACTCATATCCTCGTCACAGGCATTTTTTTGACACATTTAGACCAGAATCATTCATTTATGTCGAGACGAGGATAAATGTGCCGTCCCACGAGTGAGTCATGGAAAAATGGCTCGTCGTCAAAGTACAGCTGCTACAAATAACGTCATAGATTTGCGATTCCAGTACCATTTCTTGAAGGACGAATCATAGACTCAGCTCTTAGGCGATCTTTCTGTGTGCAAGGTGAATGGCTCCGCAGCTGCAGTAGCCTGCCACTTACTAGGCTCAAAAGTGCACGAGAATGGGCTGCAGGGTATGAACTCGCCTTGGGCTGTCTCCATACTCCACCCGCGCTTTTAGATGTGCACTACTTGTATCGAGTTTCCATAGCAATTCACGCATTCACAGTAAAGAATAACCAGAAGTCAGAGGGCACAGACGAGAAGCTCGTTTGGCTGCGCGTATACGTGTGGCTAGCCGTGCTGCAGCGTGAGTAGAGTATGATGACTGGTGCGGCTATTCTCCATTCCGTTCCCTGCACTTTTGACCGGGGAAAGTGACATATTACAGTAGTGCGGGCCATTTCAGCTCGCCGGCAAGTATCACGACCCGCTGTGAATGCTATAAATACGGCGACAATTTGTCTTCGTATTTATAGCATTCACAAAATATCTGTGGCTCTGATCGCAAGGTGATTTTGAATGATCAATAACCATGTAGCACATGCTCCACTAGTGGCGGTGCATACAATCAGTATCACTAATACTAGTCGGGGCGTGTCAGCCACGCATGGGTTTTGGCGCAGCGCCAGCCAGTTTACCGCTGATCGTTGTAGATCGAAGCGGCCGCGAAAGTTCGAGGGAAGGGGTGGCGCCGCGCCAAGGCGTACGCACCGCTTACACGCCCCGACTGATTGCAGGAATAACAACGCGTACGTCCAGCTAATATAAGACACTCACTGAAGTAAGCATATGAGCGTAATTGAAGGCATCATCAACTCCCCTTTTTTTGGATTTGCCCGCAGAAGTTATTGCA